GTTTGTTTTTTGGCAGTGTTGCTTTTGTCATGGTCAAGAGCCAGAAAGAAAGAAAAAAAAATTCAAATTATTTGAAGACTCAAGGCTCTCATAAAAAGTTCACTGTCAGTTTGATTCTACAAGCTGTAAAGATTTGGCATGAGCAATGTTATGGGTTTTAAGTAACATTAGGTCAGAGTCTTAGCCTGCATCTGTCCATGAAAATAGTCATAATGATAGCAAGGACGTTGTAGGCTGTTTCCAAAGAGCTTCAAACAAAGGGTAGGCATTCATCTACTGAGGATAGTATGGATTCTTTCCACTATTCTAAATGCTGGGAGAAAAGGACTGGAAGTTAAGGAGATTCTGTAATATCACAGAGTAACTTTTTAAAAAGAAAACTGATATTTAAGATATCACTAAAATAAAAAAGATAGTAAAGGAAACCAACATTTCCATCAAAATTTTTTCATATCATTTTTAAAAATGAATCTGTAAATACCATTTTTAAAAAAATCAAAACCTACAGCTATAGTAATAGATATTTTAATCAATCAACAGTTGAGTGAAATACAGGAGAGGGGGAATTGTAGGGGTAGAGAAGGAAGTGACAGGAGTTGTATTATCTGGTACCTCATGTCCTAAATGGGAATAAAGAAATGAACAAGGCAAAGCTTTCCCTTAAACAATTACTCACTCCCAATGAGGGTAACTTTAGTTCCTTTCAGTCTCCCTGGCCAGGTATTAAAATATATACTTTTCGTAATGGTAGTCTCTCTCATCTCATCTGGTCTTCAGTCACCTCTCATGTCCATTTTCTCTATTCCTGCTTCAGTGTGTCTCAGTGTTGCTGCTAAGTCTCAAAACCCAGCTGACCACATTCTCCATCAGATCAAGCTCTCTAACCTCGGACCAGCCTTCTTTGCTGCCCAATGGTTCTTTCATTTTGTTTTGTTGGGGTCTACCCAATTTCCCCAGCAGCTATTCCAGGCCTTCATGTTCACTTTCCAAAGTCCAACTCACTTCCTCCACTTTCAGCAAATGACTTAGAAAACTCCTCCCAAGAGACGATTGAGCCTGTTCATCCTGAACGGCCACAACTTTTCTCTTCCTCGAAACTCTTTCTATATCCTCACTTTTCTGTCCTAAATGTGCAGGTCTTCTAAGAATGAAGTATATATCCTTTTACTTTATGAAGATTACTCTTCTTCTTGTCACCTCCTGTCTAGACCTGTGGCGTCAAATGTGTCCCACCTCCTCATATCATCAATTTCTGCTTCTATATCGACTCATCTCTCAGGGGTCTCCTATTTTAAACAAACAAACCCTTCTATGACTCCACAAATGATGAAGTGTCTCTACTAAACGCTTTATCAGAATACCTTATACTCATCCACTCCACTTCCTCATTAATACACTCTTTTACTCCCTCCAAACTCGCTTGTGATCCTGATACACTGTAGAAACTGTTCTGTGTTCAGTCTTCAACCTCTTGGCAACATTTATCCTACTGAGCATCTTCTAGGAACTCTCTCTTACTTCTCTTTCCACCTCTCTTATGCCTCACTTTGTGGCTTATCTGACTCTATATTCTCTTTCTATCTGAAGGGAGACATGCAACAAAGTTCCAAGCTTCTCTTCTCACATCATTCTATACTTTCTACCCAACAAATTGCTTCTAAATCTTCAAACTTTGTGTTTCCTATTTCGTGTTTTTATGGCTTGGCCCCTGACTTCTTTCCCAGATCAAAACCCCCATTGCCTAGTTGAATATATCAATTACAAGTCCAGCCTGCATGTCAGACTCAATAGTATCCCTAAGTCAGATTTATTATTTTCCTCCCCCAGAACCCCTCTCAACTTTCCGACCTCTGATAATGGCATTCACCACTGTTCCAGAAGCCTGAATATCATTTTGCATTCAACAAATATCGATGCTGTGCTTCATATGCGTTAGTCCACAGTTCCAGGGAGAGGGGATAAAGGAGTAAACAAGGTGAATGAGGTCCTTGCGCTCATGGAGTTTACCTTCTAGAGTGGGGAAACAGAAAACAAACAAGCGATCAAGTAAGATAAAGAAAGTAAAAAGTGAATGACTTGTGAGCGATGGGGTTGGACAGTAGTGCAACTGCCTTAGATAAGGTGGTCAAGGAAGCCATTCTGAGGAGGTGACATTTGAGCTGAGACTGGAATAACAAAAACGTCAGTCATGCAAATATTGAGGAAAGAGCTTCTCAAACAGAGAAATCAGTAAGCACAAAAGCTCTAAATATGCATATACCTCTGTTTCCTTTATTCCCAATTAAACCTATCACTAATCTCAAATGCTTGTCACGTCTTCCAGAGTGACCTTAATTTTGATCCCTCTTGGATCTAGCTCCTCCGGTTGAAGCCCTAATTACTTCTTGCTTCCCGTCCATTTCTTGTTCCTGCACAACCCTCATATCACTACAGAATTAACCTTCCTAAAGTGGGACTCTACCTTATACTCTTGCTCTAAAACCTCTAGTGACTCCCACTATGCACTGGACTAGTGTAAACCTGGAAGCCTAACATTTAAATCTGTTCATAGTATGACCTCAAAATATCTTTCAATTCTTCTCTTCCATAGTGCTGTGCATAATCCTACCACAGTCAGTGTTCAGAACACACTTTAAACATCCCTGCTTCCAAAGTTGCCCATTATGTCCCCTCCACTTGGACTATCATCCCCTCACACCCAGTATAGGCCAGTGATAGCCCTCCAAGCCTTCTCTCTCTCTCTCTCTCTCTCTCTCTCTCTTTAAAAAAGACATATATTTATTGTTTGGAAGATTCAGTATTTTAAGAGGTATATTCTTTCCAAAATGACCTATCAATACTGTCCCAATCAAAATCCAAGCAGGATTTTTTTATAAATAATGATGGATGATTCTAACATTTATATGAAAATGCAACAGACTAGAAGAGCCAAAGTAATCTTGAAGAAGAAAAAAATACTCCGTAGGAAAGACAAATAAGTTAATGGAACAGAATAGAAAGTCCAGCAACAGATCCACACATAAATATTTATCTGATTTTTTTTTTAAAAAGTCACCAAATCAATTCAACAGAAAAAGAAAGTTCTTTTGAATAAATGGAGCTGGTAACAATATCCTTGTAGGGGATAAAGAAAGATACTTGACTGTACCTCAGACTATACACAAAAATTAAATTGAGATGAATCACAGAACTAAATGTGAAAGCTAAACCTATGAAATTTTGTTCTTATTACTTATCACTGAATAACAAATCACCCCAAATTTGAGAGGTGTAAAAACAACCAGTGTTTATTATGTTACGATTGTGTGGGTGAGGGATTTGGACATGGTGCAGTAAAGATGTCTCATTTCTGCTCCATGGTGTCTCAAGCCTCAGCTAGGATGCAAGCTCTATCTCAAATCATCTTTGCCTTGACCCTTCCAACTTCTCTCTGTTTTAACCCACAAAGAACTTTATTCCTTTCTTACTGCGTTTGTCATATTTTTCCCTAGAATGTGGTTATGTGCACATCAGTCTGCTCTCCCTACACGCCTTACTATATTACAGATGTTTTAAGATAGTGACCACATGTTATTTATCCTGTACTAATGCAGCGCCTCATACACGGCTGGCATTGAGTCATATTTGTTGAACAAATGAAGGAGTTTGCCAAATTTGAGTTTGATTAACTAATATTTATTTCACGATACCCCAAGTGATTTCCCTTTTATCATTCCTCTCACTCATTCTTGTGAGATCTATCCGTGAAAAAGCAGAAAGCAGAGAGGAAAAGTAGCAATCATTGTTTTGAAACAGTCTAATTAGTTTTTTTCTGGTCAAATGATTAAATGTTTATATTGAGAAACACTGAAAATACTATTTTTAATGCTGCATAAGTAGTATAGTATGAGATAAATAACTCTTAGCTTAGTACTATTCAGTGCTTAAAAAAACATTATCACAATCACAAAACCTCCTACTTACCACGTTACTGCATGTTCTATATCGGATATTTCTTCCTTCACAGCTCCTAGGTCATGAGAGAAAAAAAAAAAAATCTCATTACTCTATGAAAAGCTAAAAATTTGAACTATTATCAAAACAATTTCTTCTTAATACTAGTGAAAGGGCCTCTCTTTTCTAAGTTCTTAGAGGAATTACTATTAAATATTAAGTTGAGCAGATCTAACAAAGCTGTATATGTAAATTGATTTCTCTGTAAGGGTTGAAACTCAGCTTTCATCTTGCTTTAAAAATTTTCAAAATGAGTACTTGTGGCATATTTAACCAAATAAATATTAGTGCAAGGTTTTCTGGAAAACATTTATATTAAAGGAATTCTGTCTTCTTAATTATTTCTGATATAAAACTGGAGAGATATTTCACTGAAAAACATAGATGTTGAATATGATCTGGACTTAAAAAAATTGGACTTAATATTCAACATGTCTTTTAAAAATCACACTTCAAAGGACAAGAAAAGCCATCATTCTTAAAAAATATCTTTATTTCTAAAATGCATGCTTATTGTAGTTTTGGAAAAGACATATTACAAAAAAGAAAAAAATGTAGTTGCCTCATCTAAAGATAATCACTATTATTTTGATTTATTTATTCCTTTCCAGTGCAGAGGAAATTACATCAATTATACAATTTTATAGCCTGTTTTCTTCCCACTTAAAATTTTTTGGAGGTATTTTCCCACACTATTAAATAACTTGAAAGACACTGTTTTGAGAGATACATAATAGTCCATCATTATATATAACATAATTCATATAATCATTCTTCTGTGACTTGTTATTTAAATAATTTCCAATTTGGGGTTTGATAAATGATGATAAATCACCTCTAGTTATATTTTATCCAAGTTTCTGACTGTGTATTTAGAATAAATAAATTCCTAGTTGGGGAATTATAGGACTAAAGGGAATGAACTTTTTTTTTTTGACCAGCAAGGGAATCGCAACCCTCGGCACGGTGTGGTCTGCACCACGCTCAGCCAGTGAGCACACCGGCCATCCCTATATAGGATCTGAACCCGCGGCCTCAGCGCTCCCAGTGCCACACTCTCCCGAGTGAGCCACGGGGTCGGCCTGGGAATGAACTTTTGTAAGGCTCTTGATAAATATTGCCAAATTACATTCCATAAAGGTTGTACCATTACATACTTCCATAAGTAATATGTGGGAGTTTTTATTTTGCTGAACTCTTGTGAAGAAAAACAATCAATTTCCGTTAAAACATTCAATGATGACACAATTCATGAACAACAGCACTCTGCTCTTTTTAAAATAAGTCACACTTTTCAAAAAATAAGTGAAAATATACTATAGAATTTTGAGAGAATGACTGTACTAAAAGCTAATAGTTATGGAATGCCAGGTACATTTCTAAGTTTGTTACATGTATTAATTTATTTAGTTTTCTCAAAAACTCTGGGAGATTGGATACTACCAAAACCATTTTACAGATGAGAAAACTAAAGCTTAGCGTTGTTAAGAAACTTGCCAAAATCACACAACTATTAAGTTGTAGAGCTGAGATGTGAAACCGGGCCATCTGGCTTCAGAGCTTACACTCAATCACAAGGCTTTAATACCTCCTAATTCACTTCTTTGTTCAACAAATGTCCATAGAGCTCCTGTTATGTGCTGGGCAGTGAAGTTACTTGGGAAAATACAAAGAAGAATGAATATGATTCAGTCTTTGCTATTTGGAAAATTAATCATATAATTATAATTCAGTATTAGAAATCCTATGTAGTATTTGTGTTAGGTCTTAAAAAGGTTAACAAAAAGAAAATGCTATCTGAAAACACAATTACATGAAGTCTATCTTAAAAATATAGAAAGGGTTCCAGGCCTAAAGGCTTGATTGTAACCAGATTGATTATATTTACATGCATTAAGGAGAGAAAAGGAAGGTCTGGCCTGGCATTAGAATCATAGGAAAAATAATGACAGAGATATATGTTTGTCAGTGTCCAGCCCAACGATGTCCCAGACAAAGGGCCAGTGAAATTCAAGTCCTTAATGTCTCATTAGCAAGTCTGTTGAAATCTCCATGTAGACAACTCAGGCTAACCAAGCTGATGCCAACGAATGTTCAGATCAGCCAAGGAACACTCCTTGTTATGAAGCCAGGTTGACCAAGCTACTTGCCAAAAGTGATCTGGATTTTAATGACTGCTGAGAGGCAGAGAGTGCTGGCCATGTGATGTATTTTGGTCCATATGATGGACAGTTCTATTCCTCATTGTAAATTAATAAGCTAACATTGTAGTTTGAAACATTAATTTCATGGGCCAAGTCATTGCACATCTACCCCCAAGAAAAGGATCTGTTCTTGGTGCTATTGCTGAAAAATAATCAGATTTCTAAGTCTAGAAATACGAGAGCTAGACTTCAGATGATGGTAAATTTACAAGGTAATAAATTCCACACTGGTAGACTTTTGGTAGCAAGCCATTAGACACTGGTGTTTGCTGAATGTGATGTTTTTCAGTTTTAAAATTCCTGCTGCATTTGTAACATAGTGTAGTGGTTAAGAGTACCCACCTTAAATCCAGACCCCTCTTTCTGGAATCTTGGCTCTATACTTTAGTTTCTATACCTTGGTTTTGTCATCTGTAAAATGGGATAGTATTACTTATCTCCTGGAATTATTATGAGGATGAACTGAGTTACTATTTGCGAATCACTTCAAACAGTGCCTAGCACATAGTAAATAAGCATTATGTAAGCATTTGATAAATTAATTAAGTTGCATAGTACGTGTAAAAGTATAATAGATAGTGAAAGGAGATTAAGGATATATGAAGAAGTAACTAAGTAAAGGCATAGAGGTATGAAAAGATTTGGTATGTTTGTGAATTTTCAAACAGTTTTATTTTTGGAGTAGAGTTTATGTGGAAAATTGCAGTGGATGAGCAAAATACCTTCTAATTTTGAACTTTGTAATAGGCAAAGGGGAACCACTGAAGGTTTTAAAACAGAGGAAGTACAATGATGACTTCTTGCTTTAAAAAAGTGAAAGCTGTTGTTAATCTTTGAGAACTTAATCCCCTATGTTTTTCACCCTCCTTTTATGTTATTTTCCTAACCTTATATCCATTAAAGGAATAATGGAAAACAATTCTGACTTAGGAGTTTGAAGATCTGGGTTATAGATTTTCTCTTTTTTTGCACAAGCCTCTTGCTCCCTCAGGGTCTTAGTTTCCTCATCTGTCAAATGAATATAGGAATGCCAGTACATGAAGTTATGATCACCAACCGAGATCATGTACAAAAGCTTTGTTCAAATGCCAAGAGTTTATTGCAGAGATAGTGCTTACTAAACAAAACTAAACAAAGCAAAAAAATACCTGCTTTAATAATTTAAATGTCTTTTTCTAGACTTTTTTTTTTTTTTTTTTTAAAAAGATGACCGGTAAGGGGATCTTAACCCTTGACTTGG